GCAACCCACAGAAGACGAAAACTCTAAAAGTGAATTTCATTGAATCTCAGGCAGAGATACCATCAACGCCTCCCAGTGCTACTCTGTCTCCACCAGAATACCCGCCCTCCCCACCCCCAGGCCAGGCCCCGGTGACCAGCCCACGGGCAGGACAGTCAGGGCAAGGAGAGGATGCAGCCCAGGGCTTAGAGGGCAAAGGTCAGCCTACCAGCTTAAGCCACAGCGGAAATCACATGGACAGGGCTGCCGTCTTCAGCCCTTTGTCACCTAAATCACCCAACTGCACTACTCAGGAAGTGGTTGTTGCCGGCAACGGTGAAGGAGAGGCAGGCAACAGCCAAATGGAAAATCACATAGTTCTGGATGGAAGTCTGTCTCCGTCTTGTGAAACAAGCATGTGACGAGTATAGGTGGAAGGTCAAGGAAAGATGAAACAGACTCTCTATTTGTCTATGAAGAACAAAAAGATGAAGCACACTAATGTATTGAACAATAAGTTGTCTGCATGGCTTGACAATTATTTTTTCTGATAACATCACTGTTTCTGAAGACCTATGAGAGCTGCTGCTTGCTGCAGACATTGAACTTATAACAGTGGATTTTACTATAAGGCTCCAATGTGAGCAACAAAAAAAAACTAGTATGAATGAGGACATTTATGAACAAATTGTACATTATGGTCCTGGACTTTTTACGTAGCTAGCTGTACATTGCAAGTTTCTTTTTGTAGCTTGCTGAATATTTTTTTCTGAAGTGTGGTGGGACAAGGACATCGACTGAAGAGGGGAATGTGGAAAGACTGGGATTTTTATATAAGGCCTCATCATTTGTCGAGCAGTATCAATGTCATATCATATTCTGTTACTTGATATGACTTGCATTAATTAGCAAAGTTTCAATTCCATCTCATGTTATTGTATCTGTTTAGATTTTGCATTGTTCTCAATCAAGTCAACCGAGAGATATATTGTATATGGAACAAGCAAGGGCCTCCTAGTTCAGGGAAATGAGAAATGAAACTAAGCAAAAAGAAAAGAAAGTGCAGCATATTATATAGCAATTGTTAAACATCTGCCTATATGGAAATAGACCAATAAGAAAATACAGTTTTAAAAATAGCCTATACATGACTATCTATGATTGCTTTTAAATACTTTATATTCTACTATGTTATATTCTGTTCATGTGAATGAGCTTATGTCCCTCATTTATATGTTTAGCATTGTTGTGGTGCAACCCTGCATCGATGGAATGGGAAATGGACAAGCCACATCAGTATTGCATGGCACCTCATGTACCGGTATTTACACTATGACAAAAGTGATTAGATAATGGCATTATACTATTGAAAATATTATCATACAGCAGCAATTCATTCACTGAGATACAGATCATTTCAACTGAATGGTTTTTCAGGTTCTTCACTAAAATGGACATGTATTATTACTGAGTACCAGATCCATTGTGATCAAAGGAAATCTGTGTTGTTACACTCCTCACTGTATTTATGTTGTTGTAATGCTGCCTTTTGCATAGAGAAGTGCAGAAAATGTATTGGATATGTACATGTATGTATGCTAGTTGGAACAATTACTGTGTATGTTTGATGTGTCAAGTTTAATTTATATTGTATGGGGATGATTGTGGTCACAGTAGGTCTAATACTGCAGGGTTTCCCAATCTCGGTCCTGGGCATCCCCCCCGGGTGCACGTTTTGGTTTTTTCCCTAGCACTACACAGCTGATTCAAATAATCAAAGCTTGATGATGAGTTGGTTATTTGAATCAGCTGTGGGCAAAAACCAAAACGTGCACCCAGGGGGGCCCTGGGACTGATTTTGGGAAACCCTGCAATACAGTACAGCACTTAGGAAGAAAGTGTAACACTGCCCTCTAAAGACGGAGGATTTTAAGGCACTTTAATTAATCCAAGAATTCATGCATATCTCTGATTGGAATGCATCTTAATATTGAAGAAAGTAACATCTTTATTGAATTAATTGTGCATTTTCAAGTATTGCATGGCACATCTCAACTGTTGCAGCTTTAAAATAAACTATACTTATAAATCTGAACTGAATCAGGAGGGCCATCTGCAGACAATCTGAATAATACAGTATATTAACTATATCAACTACTGCGCTTATATTCTATTTAAAGTAGATCATGTTACCATATTATGTTTTGTTTGCTTGTATGATTGATTCCATTTTTCTAAGATAAAATGGATCAGGACTGTAATAATTCCTGGTAAATGTATGAATTGTGTGCCTTTTCATAAATATAAATTTATGAGAAGGCGAAAACCTACATAATTTGGCTGGTTCATAGAGATCTATAAATAATGTCTTTCTAGTAGGGAGATATATGAGGTGATGATATGCAAATAGCTATTGTACTGAGTTATCATGTTTTGTATAACTTGAAAGCTTTGTCATATCATGGCTTACGTCCTCCTTTCAAAGTACCATTTGTTGTCAGTAATGTACAGTACAGTACAGTAGGCTTATATTAGTTCATAATTGAGATGTCAGGGCAACAGGAAGAGTTACTGCAGTGACACTCCCTGATATAACACCACCTCATTCACCAAGTCATCTGTAAAACCTCAATGTCCATTTGTATTTTGGTTGTAATTATCTTACATTATTTTGTACAGTTAGCTCTATCATACTCATATCCTCAAATCAATACTTACAACCACAGCGTAATGTAGGTAACTATAGGGTCAATTCCTCATCTGCCTGCTTTTTGTGATGTTCCTTCCATACCCCATTTTCTTTGGTTGTTTTAAAGGTATGTGACCATAGTAATCTTAATTGTAAGTCAACATAACTTGATAGTGAATGAATAGTAACTTATTGTTTCCAATAAGTTGATTACCATATGCAAGACAAATAAAATGTGCTCATGTGACCCTGCCTTTGTGATTGTGTGCTTACAGAGGGGTCTTCAAGATTCTCTCTTTACATGTCATGGACATTTTCAAAAATAAGGTGAATAGACCAGACATATACAGTATGAGAGGAGAGAACAAAAACACATTTTCTGGGGCAAATGTGCTACATTCCCTTCTATTGAATGGCACTGTAGTAGCCCCTATCTAGGAACCGTCCAACCAAGTCCATCAGGGAGCTCTCAATTCAGTGATAATCAGTCAATCCCTGGCTGTCAAATGAACTTCAATAAAAAAGCATTGAACCAGGGATATGTTTAGGGGAAGTGCTATAGTGATGATTGAATGATAATGCAACAGCAATAGATTTACCTTACACTTGTACCTAATGTCCAGAATTCTCTGTTTATTTTAGGAAGAAGGCGGGACTGATTTACACACGCTAGTCTTCTAACAATAAGGATAGGTTTAATCATTACACTTGGAAGTCGGAGGAGTGAGGTTAAAGAAAAGTGGAATATGTTTTGAGTGAATACGGAATGGAGGATCACACAGAACTTTTGGAAGAGCTAGAGAAGGAAATTGAATGTGACGAGAGTGAGGATGAATTAAATGTGGTGGCAGGTGCAGTGATGGCTGCTGAAAAGGAGCTGAGTGTAGAGGGAAGCGGTGTGATGAGGAAGGTTGGCGTCAAGTGCAAAAAGAGGGATACGTGCTCCAGTAGTTCAGAGATGGAACCTGACGAAAGTGAGGATGAATTACCTGCGGTGAGGACCGCCGAGTTCGAGCCTCGTCCCGATGATGACAAGGATGATTCTGGCCCAGTAGGAGTGAGATTTGTGGAGAGAATGGATCCTTGTATTCTGACTGATCCATATGTGGTGTCTGGTTGGGTGGAGAAGAGGTTGGGGACTGTTGAGTCGGTGAAAGTAACGCGAAGTGGACTCGTGATGATTTAGTGTGCTTCTGTCCAGAGGGAGCAGGCACTTCGGACGACGCGACTAGAGACAAGAACTGTGACTTGCTTTGCTCTCCGGAACAGGGTGCTGTTGAAAGGAGTGATAACGGGGTGGCATTAAGTGTTGAGGAGGCTCAGCTGAAATTGAAGATTCCTGGTGTCTGTGACGCCTGCCATTTGGTGTGATGCAGACACGGTGGAAAACATGGTGAAACGGAGAAGACATTGTCTGTCCTGTTGAGTTTTGATGCAGAGTCTTTGCACGACAAGGTCAAGTTTGGATGTGTTAGTTATCCAGTGAGAGCCAAGCTTATGGCCATGTTGCAGCAGTGTGTAGGAGGGAGATTCCTAGATGTGAGAAGTGTGCAGGAGGGCATGAGACGAAGGAATGTGTAGTATCAGTGGAAAACGTTGTGTGTGTTAGCTGTGGGGTGCCCATGGAACTGGAGACCGGAGGTGTCAGGTGAGAGAAAGGCAGGTTGAAGTTGCCTGGGTCAGAGTAGTACAGAAAGTGTCATATGCTGAAGCAGTGAAGAGAGTGGTAGAGTAAGATGGGTACAGGGTGAGGGATCCTGAGACGATTCCTGTGAGTAGGCAGAGACCAATAGAGAGGGATGGGAATAATATGTGCTTCAGTCAGGTGGGTTTCTTAGCATTCATAGCCATGGTTGTCAACTGTACTGCAGAAATGGAATGTAAGTCACAGAAAATAGAGGTTGTGGTGGCAGCTGCAGAGAAGTACATGGGATTGAGGTTTTACTGGAGAAGATTGGCAGGGGATGTTGAGTGGTAGTGTTCTGTCCTCCTAGACCGTTGGCCTGGAGTAAGCTTAGATAGGGTTAAATAGTGGAATGGGGTGGTGTTTAAAAATAATAATAATATATATATATACTTTTTTGTATGTGTGTGTGTGTATATATATATATATATATATATATATGTGTGTGTGTGTGTGTGTGTGTGTGTGTGTGTGTGTGTGTCTGTGTCCTTTTCTCCTTTTGTATTACGAAGTATAATGGATTTATAGCATACTCCAGTTTGGGGGCGGTAATGCAACACATTGGATGCCAACCGCCGTTAAACTCCAAAGAAGAAGAAAATAAGAATTATGCGCAGTGCTTTGTGCAAGTTGATCCTCGTGAACAAGCTATCAACAAAGTAGCAACTAGCAACAATTAGTACAACAGCTGCACAATAGGCTATCAAAGTGAAGTTTGTTGTCTGATCTTTCCTCAAAATTGTCATGGTCTGGAAATCTTTCTGAAGGCCTATTTCTTACCATGAATATTTTTGTTGAATTCTGCTTAGTGTCGTGCAAAGTTCTCTGGACTTTTGTGTTGGCTGGAACGAGATGGCTTGTGCGTCCTAAAGAGAAGAATGTAATGGGTCAGGTTTGTGTGATCACTGGGGCGGGAAGCGGCCTTGGAAGACACTTTGCCAAGGAGTTTGCGAGAAGAGGTGCTACGGTCGTCCTTTGGGACATCAATTGGGAAAGTAACGAGGAGACTGCTGAGATCGTGCGACAAATCTACAGCGACATTACCAGTAGGAACCCTGAAAGTTGGCAAACTGCTGCTTTCTGAAATTATACTACTTTACTTTTAAAGGGGAAATCATTAAATTTTACACTTTTAGTCATTTAACAGACGCTCTTATCCAGAGCGACTTACAGGAGCAATTAGGGTTAAGTGCCTTGCTCAAGGGCACATCGACAGATTTTTCACCTAGTCGGCTCGGGGATTAGAAGCAGCGACCTTTCGGTTACTGGCACAACGCTCTTAACCACTAAGCTACCTGCCGCCCCACAAATCATGAGTTGTTACATGAATGTTTGGACATATAAATTAATATGTACCCATTGATTCTTGAATAATATAACTGATAAATGCTTAATGAGCTTAGTTTAACTGTTGTGCCCCATCAGAATCCCAAAAATAAATGTAAAGTAACACTGTATAGAATCAAAACATGGTTAAAACTATAATTTTGCTATCATGGATGGTCGATCCTTGCATCCCTAGCTCAATGAATTTGAGTGATTACATTTCTCCAGCCCCATCCCTCGGCTTTTTACTGAAACTGCTAAATTGCCCTTTAAAGGTGCAATCCAATATTTCTAGGGTTGGTCATTTCAATGTACATTTTAGCAGACGCTCTTATCCAGAGCGAAGTACAGTTAGTGAGTGCATACATTTTTCATACTGGCCCCCCGTGGGAAACGAACCCACAACCCTGGCGTTGCAAACGCCATGCTCTACCAACTGAGCTACACGGGACTATATGTAGACCTATTGATTTTTTTAAAGAGTAGCCTATGATTCATATTATGATTTACATTATAACCCAAAAACTAGGACATAATCCATTGTTATTGTGTTGTCATAGGACACTTAGGTAGGCCTACACTATTTCGTTTCAAATGATATGATGGACAAATATGTATCTCTAATATAATTCCTTTAACACTAAAGATTGAGAGATATCAGAAAATAAATTGCTGTTTGTGTTTGCAAATGTTATGGAATGCACCTTGAAATATTGTTCCACTAAACCAGACAAGGACCATCTCCCCTGCTCTACAGGTCCAGTGGATGGTGAGGGAGATGTATCTCAGATTCAGCCCAAGGTCTACACTTATCTGTGTGATGTAAGCAAGAGAGAGGAGGTGTACTTGACTGCAGATAAGGTGCAACGTGAAGTGGGCAACATTGATATCCTGATCAACAATGCTGGGGTGGTCTCAGGACATCACCTGCTGGAGTGTCCAGATGAACTCCTAGAGCGCACCATGATGGTCAACTGCCACGCTCACTTTTGGGTCAGTTGCATTGCACTCAACCTGATCACTTAGTTTCACATGGACTACTCCAGTGACACTGAAGTGTATTTCCAAAGGAGATGATGGGATAGACCTATATGAATATCTGCTTAGGACTCATTTTTCTACAGTAATATCAGTTGTCACTTGCCATGCAATGTTTGTATTCTTACCATAAGAATGCTTTTGGCATGTTTTTCCATTTCAGACTACCAAGGCTTTTGTTCCCAAGATGCTTGAGCTGAACCATGGACACATTGTGACGGTAGCCAGCTCCCTGGGTCTGTTCACCACTGCTGGTGTTGAGGTTAGCAGGATATTCTCCACTGATAAAACTACAGTATACCTTCTTACAGTATACAAGAGTATTTTATCAAACCAATTTCTATCTCAAATTCTGTATTTTACCAGGACTACTGTGCCAGCAAGTTTGGTGCTATAGGCTTTCATGAGTCCCTCAGCCACGAGCTGAAAGCAGCTGAGAAAGACAGGATAAAGATGACGCTGGTCTGTCCTTTCTTAGTTGATACTGACATGTTCAAAGGTTGTAAAATCAAGTAGGTAAAGTGTTACATTAACAAGTGTATTGATATCTGAACACAGTGCTAATTTATTCTTGGCATCATCAAATATGAAATCATGCAAAGACACCACAAACTAATTGATGACTATTTTTGTCCCATCAGGAAAGAGATTGCCCCACTCTTCCCTCCGTTGAAGCCAGAGCAGTGTGTGCAGCAGGCAATGAGGGCTATCCTAACAGACCAGCCCATGATCTGTACACCTCGGATTATGTACATAGTCTGTTTCATGAAGACGTAAGTAGTACACAACCTGAATATCCAGATACCCAGGTTTTGTCAAGCAACTATCTCTTAGGTAAACTTAATGACATCCAATGACTGTAAGTCGCTTTGGATAAAAGCGTCTGCTAAATGGCATATTATATTATATTATTATTGTATATTCTCTGATTTCCCCCCTCTTGCAGGGATTGTGCCACTATCAAATGTATATCATGGGAGCCATAGCTTTATGTGCTTACTGATCATTTATTCATTTCTGTATCCCTGGCTATTGCAGTGTCTTGCCCTTTGACGCCATCGTTTGCATGTACCAGTTTCTTGGAGCAGACAAATGCATGTACCCGTTCCTGGCTCACCGGAAGGAGGCCATGAACAACAATGAATCCAAGCTGCCTTCCATCCAGCAGCCTGCCATCCAGCAGCTGCCACTGGGAAAAAAAGAATGTTAACATATACCCTTTGACACTCAGATTGATCAGATGGAGATGTTCAGCACATTGTTCCTCTGGAACAAACTACATATGCTGTGTACTTTATTAAGGGTTCACATTGGTTCTTTTGGTTTCTTGAGACCAGTTTTTGTATTTGTCGCAAACATAATAATTCACAGTAAATTTCATTGTTTTGTAGACCCTCACTGTGTATCCCCATCCCGCTCTTTATAAATGAGTTTTGTGTAGAATGTCTTAATTTAGAAAACAGATTTTTGGGAAAGAAGTCCTTTCACTCGGAAGTGCCACATGTTTTTGAATGTGGACACTTCCTAGAATGCTGCCTCTGTTTGCATTCTGGGGATCCTTCCAGACTACGACGTGGCTGAAAGTAATATATCTGTTTGGGCTAAGAAAGAGAAACACGAGATAAGCAATTAACAACAGAGAGATACTGCACCTGTCTGCAGGTGAGGATGTGACAGCACTGTCACTAACCTAAACAGAATAACTCTATTATAACCTTTTCAAGACTTCATCAGTCCTTGACATAAAACGATCAAAGTTGCAATCAATAGTCTCCAATCCTATCATACAAATTGCAAAATTCCTCCAAAGTAACCCCTTTGGGCTAGAACTAAAAATATAGATTGTATTAATAAAAAACAAATCACAAGGCTTCACAATTCATAAAGGTCATGTTAACTGACTGCTATTATCTCATAGAACAAAACGTATAAGATCTCCTAACCCTGTGTTAATCTCAGACCTATTTTCGGCATTTATTCCAAAACCCTATTCGTCATCCTGATGAGCCCTTCCCAGCTAGCTAGTTTCTGCTTGTGGCAAGAAACTTCAGCAAGAATTTGAAACTCGTCTGCCAAAGCTGGGACTTATTTTTAATGTAGACGTTAATGCCGTAGTTTTACATTTTCGGTGAAAATCACTAGCCTACAATAAATATGCAGAGGAGGCAGACTCGATGCTGCAGGACTGTTTTGAGAATACTGATTGGAATATGTTAAAAGATTCATCCACCCTGTACTCATTCATCAACATTGAGGAATATGCATTGTCAATCACAGGCTTCATTAGGAAATGTGTTGATGATGTTGTACCCACAATGTTAATTTGGACATACCCCAACGAAAAATATCCGTACAATGCTGAGAGCCGGTACTGCAGCATTCAATGATAGCAGAACGAACCCCAATGACTTGGTGGCACGCTACGTGTACAACGCAAGCAGGTACGAGCTCCGCAAATCCATTAGGGACGTAAAAAGACAATGCAAACTGAAACTTGAATTGATGTTCAACAACTCAGACTCGCAATGCATGTGGCACGGACTACAGACTATCACGGACTACAAAGGCAAATCCAGCTGTGTGGTGCCCACTGAAGCCTTCCTCCCAGACGAGCTTAACACATTCTATGCTCGCAAAACCGAGCCATCCAGGAAGACATTCGCTGCTCTGGACGACCAGGTGATTTTGCTCTCAGAGGCTGGTGTGAGGAAAACTCTCAAAAGAGTGAATACTCACAAAGCCGGCGGCCCAGATGGCATCCCTGGCCGTGTCCTCAGAGTATGCCCTGACCAGCTGGTTGGTGTCTTCTTTGACATCTTCAACCTGTCCAAGGCAGAATTCCCTACTTGCTTCAAGGAGACAACCATTGTCCTAGTGTCAAAGAAAAACAAGGTAACTGCCCAAATGACTATCGGCCCATAGCACTCACCCTGGTCATTATGAACAGGTTGGCAATCAAGACCAGCATGACAGGCACACTGGACTCACTCCAATTGGCCTACTACTCTAAAAGATCCAAGGAAGATGCCATTTCCATCGCTATTCACACGGCCGTAACACATTTGGCCAAGAGGAACACCTATGTGAGAATGCTGTTCATTGACTACAGTTCAGCATTCAACACTATTGTTCCCTCCAAGCTCAGAGCCTTGGGTCTGGACACCACCCTCGGTAATTGGATCCTGGACACATATTGTGAGGATAGGCAACAATCAATAAGGGATCATATCTTTCACCTGATCAGTCTATGTCATGGAAAGACTCAGTGTAAAATGAGGGATACCTTGAGAAAATCGTACCTCTCTGAACTGAAAATGGATGGCCTTCCCTTAAGTAAAATATATTTTTAGCCGACCCTTTCTGAAGGCTTGAAAAAAATAAAATCCCCCCCACCACATACCCAAAATAATATTTAAAACATAAAGTGGTTAGCAGAGAAAATGCATACCATTATAATAAAAGCACTGCATGAATCTATCATCTTATTTGTGGTCTGAGAAAAATCTTTCTTTTATAAACGCATTTCATGCAATTCTACGTCATTTTACATTACTGGATACGAGCAGAATCTTTCTTAATACCACAATAGAGCTTGACAAAGAATGGGCGCATGCTGCAGCACCAGATACATTTCGATTTCTATACAGACTATTGTTAAAAAAGAGCATAGTCAAAGTCTGGAAAATTTAGCTCAACTGAACCAGTTACAACTGAAGTGTCTGATCATCAATGAATTCAAGAAAAGCCTTCTTCTTTTTTTTAACACAGCAGCCGCATATCATCAGGTAGGCCTATATTCCCTTGTAACTTTTCTTTCATTTGTGAAACTATAATTTTATAATCTATTTTATTTTATTCCATGATAATGTTGTTACAAAACTGATTTATGTTGACTGTGATTAGGGCATGGGAATATAAGAGCATCTGCTAGGCTAAATTCACAAACTAGGCATGCATAGCTCACCTCATGATCCTCAAACCAAAAACTGGCTAAACTCCTGTTTCTAAAAGTTAATTCAAAGGCATTGTAGAATGACTGTATTGTCTAATAAGGCATTTTTAGTTTCATTATTTTTTAATTCTATGTAAGACGTTTTTTACATTTCATTTTCTTTATAGGCATGTTGTTCACATGCTCTTGTTGATGTGTTGTTGAAATGCTGAGTGCTCCTGACAGCCTGTAGTGTGTCACAAATGTTTCACAATGTATTTCTTAAATGGCAGGCTATAGCCTTGAAATAATAATATAGCCGAAATAATTGTGACCGACTGGCTCGATTCGGTCTTATTTTAATGTTTATTTTTTTATTTTTTACATTGGATAAAAGTAGAGACTCAGAGCTAGAAAATGGTATATCATACACTACAGTTGAGGAACAATGGGAAGGTAATTCTGCTTTGAAAGTTGATAAACTTGTAACCCCACTTTTGAAACGGCCCTTGAATGTTTTGGTACACCTACTGGAGAGCTCTCCTTTGTCTACACCCATTCAGCATCGTTCACACCCTCTTAAGCCTTAACCCCACCCATCTTTTTAAGGATTCACATGTGAGGCAATGTGCTAAACAGAGTGAGTATGGTAGTGTACTAAACAACCAAATATTTCAAGACTAAAGGCTGGTATATACTAAGTCTATCGACATGTCTGTAGATAGTTGTCGCAGTGACATTCTATTGTCGTCCGATATCAAACTTTGCGTTGTCGTTATGAAAAAGTATAAACCCAAAAACGACAGGCTGCCTGACATCAGCAGCCTGGTAGTCCAAAATAGCATAACTGGTGTATTTTAACACCAATAAACCCATCCGTTTAAAAATGAATTTAATATATGTCAATCTAGCAAACCAGGCAACTAAAAGTAACTTTCTTAACAATGTTTGGTTCGTTTCTAGCCTGTTAGCTAGCTAGCTAACGTTAAGTTAGCTGGCTAGCCAGTTCAAATAATGACGATAGCATATAGCTGACAACATCTTAACTTCAGCGAATTTGTATTCATTATTACAGGAAAATAAACTCACAACAAGAGCATTATTTACAAGTTAATGGCAAGCTAATTACACAAAATAGCTTATGGTTGTGAGTGTGACAAAATAAAAAGCAGGGCATTCTACCGGAGAATTTTAGAACTTGGACACTGTCTCGTTGGCCTAACGTTATATCCTAATTTGGCTTTGGTGCAGGTCATGTTGTTCTTCACATTACCAACTCTGGTAAACACACCATATAGACAGAAGCGTGCTACATGGCAGACCAATCCGAACTCATCTCTCGGCATGTCCAGCCCATCCATTATCTCAGCCAATCATGGCTAGTGGGAAGGTTCCTGCCTTTTTCCGTGGCTAAACCAACTAGGCTCGTAATTTAACAATTGATTTGTATTTACAGATGGCAAACAAGTCTGTTATCAAGGCACATGAAAGTTCACATGTTCCAGAAGGCATTTCTGCCAAAAACGCATTTTGATTAAAAAAATGCCTTTCCTGTGAAGTAGTGACACGCGACTCGTTTCCTGAAACGAGTCACAATTCATTTTCGTTCTTTCTTAGGCTACCTGGCTTGCTCTTGACTGATTTAGAGTTAGTAAGTTGTTTAATAGCATGTTGAACGTCAATTGGTAGTGACATAATCAGACAGTACTTCCCAAGCAGAGTCCATATTTTTTTATCCTTGGCTATATAAGGTTTCAGAGCAGCCACTGAATGTCATAGAGACAAACCAAAGATATTCCATAGAAATCGGAGTCACATCTTTCCCCGGCATTTTACAGCTTGTTTCTAGCATAAATCATTGTGGACTAAAGCGTCATTATAGATCACTTTATATAATCAGGTCAATTTTTCCCCCCTAAGCTAACAAGGGGTAGGGCTATGCTTTTAGCCATTTTCTTTAACAACAGCCCTGGTTTTAACTTAACACACCAAGCCCTTCACTGACAATGAGATATTTAAGGAGTGCATGGTGACTGAAGGAATTGGCTGACAAAATCTATGGATAAGTAGACTATAATTTTGTCTGTCAAACAGGTAGGCCTACCTCTTATTTCTTGAATAGGAAGAAATAGGCTCTAAAAAATCACATTTTATTGGTCACATACACATTTTTAGCAGATGTTATTGCGGGTGTAGCGAAATGCTTGTGTTCCTAGCTCCAACAGTGCAGTAGTATCTAACAGTTCACAACAATACACACAAATCTAAAAGTAAAAGAATGGAATTAAGAAATATATAAATATTAGGATGAGCCATGTCGGAGTGGCATTGACTAAAATACAATAGAATAGAATACAGTATATACATATGAGATGAGTAAAGCAGTATGTAAACATTATTCAAGTGACTAGTGTTCCATTATTAAAGTGGCCAGTTATTCCATGTCTACAGTGCCTTCAGAAAGTAATCAGACCCCTTGACTTTTTCCACATTTTGTTACGTTACAGCCTTATTCTAAAATTGATTAAATATAATTTTTTTCTCAGCAATCTACACACAATACCCCATAATGACAAAGCGAAATTGTTGCTACTTTAATACAAATAAAAAACAGAAATACCTTATTTACATAAGAATGCAGACCCTTTGCTATGAGACTCAAAATTGAGCTTAGGTGCATCCTGTTTTCATTGATCATCCTTGAGATGTTTCTACAACTTGATTAGAGTCCACCTGTGGTAAATTCAATTTATTGGACATGATTTGGAAAGGCACACACCTGCCTATATAAGGTCCCACAGTTGACAGTGCATGTCAGAGCAAAAACCAAGCCATGAGGTCGAAGGAATTGTCTGTAGAGCTCCGAGACAGGATTGTGTCGAGGCACAGGTCTGGGGAAGGGAACAAAAGATTTCTGCAGCATTGAAGGTCCCCAAGAACACAGTGGCCTCCATCATTCTTAAATGGAA